TCCAAACCTACAAAAATATTACAGTGGGCCTGGTCTGCCTTTTTGTTCTATGCTTACAAAGTTATGAGCCATCAAAAACCTGAAAACTGGTGTAAGCGACCTTAAGCCTTCTTTCGAGCCTTCAAATGCTAGAGGAACGCTTGTAAGTACTATTTCGGTATAAAAACCAATTCCATCTTTCAGTGCTTTGAACTATCACAGTGGTTTATCAGATCGCCTTTTTGATGATCATAAAACGCATTCGCAAGGGGCTGGCAACCAAACCAAGAAAACTCGACCATTCATTGGATCAGTAACAAGAAAAATACATGCAAAGTCGAGCATATCGGGACTAATTAGCGTGAAACCTTATGTGTCTAAGAGAGAAAGAGAGAAACTAGCTCAAGAAAATGCCTTAATCACGACTTCAACATTTTCAACGAATCATCAGTTGGAAGAGATTGATTGTGATAATTCTTTGAAAGGTGTTGAGTTAANCCAAACCTACAAAAATATTACAGTGGGCCTGGTCTGCCTTTTTGTTCTATGCTTACAAAGTTATGAGCCGTCAAAAACCTGAAAACTGGTGCAAGCCACCTTAAGCCTTCTTTCGAACCTTCAAATGCTAGAGGAACGCTTGTAAGTACTATCTCGGTATAAAAACCAATTCCATCTTTCAGTGCTTTGAACTATCACAATGGTTTATCAGATCGCCTTTTTGATGATCATAAAACGCATTCACAAGGGGCTGGCAACCAAACCAAGAAAACTCGACCATTCATCGGATCAGTAACAAGAAAAATACATGCAAAGTCGAGCATATCGGGACTAATTAGCGTGAAACCTTATGTGCCTAAGAGAGAAAGAGAGAAACTAGCTCAAGAAAATGCCTTAATCACGACTTCAACATTTTCAACGAATCATCAGTTGGAAGAGATTGATTGTGATAATTCTTTGAAAGGTGTTGAGTTAAAATCTGAGCTTAAAACTGACATATCTAGCATTAAAACTACATACACAGATCTTGTATGCAGACCATCAAGAAAGCT